GACCTCGTGATCCGCCCGTCTCGGCCTCCCAAAGTGCTGGGATTACAGGCTTGAGCCACCGCGCCCGGCCCCAATGGGTTTTCTAAAATACAAATGTGGTTCAACTGTTTAAAATCTTCTAGTGAAGACCTGAAAATTTGCCCTCGGACAAATTTGCCCTGAAAACTTGCACATCTTTAACAAGATATGCAAAGCCCTCTCATTCTAACCTCTTCTCCCTACTGTCTTGAAGGCCATGTTCTCCCCTGTGGGTCTCTCAGCACTGCCCTCCCAGACGTGTGTGCTTGATCACCTGCAGATCCTGCAGGTGGCTGCCTAGACGCCAGCTGCCCTTGAGCTGATGTGCCCATCCTTAGCCCCCCCCAGCTCTTTGCACAGGTCTGCCTCAGGACTGGTTGAGTCTCTTTTGCGGAGAATCAAATTTGAGACTTAACCAAGGCTTCCAACGGGGTGTGTGATGCTTCCCTCCTCAGCCCCAGAAGCTCCTGAAGAGATCTTCCTCCCACACCAGCACCTACCAGGAGTGTAGCCTGCTCCTCTGGGAGGTAGGAGACTGGGGTGGCTGACAGCCTGGGACTTGGGGATCAGACAGAGCAGAACTCAAATCCAGGCGCTACTCACTGTCACCTCAGGCAGGTTATTTAATCTGCCCAGGCCTCAGTTTCTGCATGTTTGAAGCAGGGCTAATAGTACCCTTCTCCTGGCTGTGGTCCAGCTGCCAGGTGCCACTGGAGACTGTAGGTGCTGGAGGGGGGAGGCACGTGGCCAGAGGCGCCTGGTCCTGACCAATCTTATACACTGACTTTTTTAATAGGAACATCTGCCTGTTCTTTGGGACTTGTCCGGCAAGTAACAGGAAACATTTTCTAAGAAATAAGTATAAACTCTGATGAGCCATGGCAAAAGCAGTTGTTTTAAGCTTAGTCAAGTGAAGCAGTGGGAGTGGAGGAGAACCAAAGAAATCTCTGCTAGTTGTGATGGATTCCTTGTCACCTCCACTGCACGCCCCCTGAGCTGTGGCTTTGGGCAGATGAGCAGCACAGAGGCGCCTTCCGTCCTCGACCCTCCCCACGGCCCACCATCGCCACAGCTCCCTCTGCCGCCAGGGTGGCACCCAGATGGGGAGGAAGTTGAGGAGGCCACTGTCCACCCAAACTGGTTGGTCCTTTGGGCAATGCTGGGAATAGGGTGGGGGCTCTGGGCAAGCCCAGGAGGAGGAGTTCCGGGAACATCTCACACCACAAGGGAGGATCTAGCTGGTGCCTTCCCTGTACCGGCAGGAGGCCAGAGGGCCCTTCTCCAGCTCATCAGGGAGGGAACTGCTCTGGCAGGGAGTAGGGAAGGCTGTTTGTGGCATCCCTCAAGAAAGCTCCTGCCTCAGAAGAGGCCCAGGCAAAAAGAGCCCACAACAGTCTACCTGTGGAACAGGGGGAGCCCACAGAGCCCAGTGAGAGCTGGGGGTCCTCGCTGCCAGCTCAGACCTTCAGATCCAAGCCAGATGGCTTTGGGACAGGGCAGCCAAAGCTGTGGTAAGACAGCCTACACCACAGAGCCCCAGAGGCAGGGGCTGCCCCGGGCTGGCACACTTGGAAAGGATGCACTTGCACCCTGTCCACGGAACAGCTGCCATCAGGCCTCAAGCATCTCAGAATCCTCCCCAGGCACTGCCTCCATGGAGGCAGCAGGAGGAACAGGAGAGTTCTGGGGTCTGAACCCTCTGTTGGGGAATCGGCTGGGATCCCACTCAGGCTGAATGAGATGTCAAATTGTAGGACCCTTTCTTCAGGGTCTCCAGAAAGAACTGTTCATTCTCCAAGAAGTCGCGGTCCTGCAAGGCAGATGTGGATGGGCGGTCACCTTCCCTGAGCTGAGAGAAAGGTGGAGCCCTGGACACTAGCTGAGCCAGCCCTCGTTAAGGCCCCTCCCCACGTCATCCCTGACTCTGGGAGTCAGCAGGGGCCGTGAAAGAGCCCAGGTACGGAGTGAGACAGACCACAGTCTCAATCCTGGCAAAGCTACTTGTTTGCTATGGAACTTACGAGCACATGACTTCATGTCTCTAAGCCTCAGTTTCCTTGTCTGTAAACATTCCTTGTAGCCCTTCCTTGTAGGGCTGTGTGAGGGTAAAGGCTTAAAATATACACAAAGCAGGCCAGGCACAATGGCTCATGCCAGTAATCCTAGCTAATCCGCAGGCCAAGGGGGTAGGATCACTTGAGCCCAGGACTTTGAGACCAGCCTAGGCAACATCATGAGACCCTATTTCTAAATATAAATAAGTAAGAAAGAAAATATAAACAAAGCCTTCAGCACTGAGGTTGGCACACAGGAAATGATCCATGACAACTGTTATCATTATTGTTTTGTTTACTTTGAGACAAGTGTCTTGCTCTGTCATTCAAGTTGAAGTGCAGTGGTGTGAACACACCTGTAGCCTCGACCAGCTGGGCTCAGGCAATCCTCCCACCTCAGCCTCCCAAATAGCTGGGACTACAGATGTGCCCCACCATGCCCAGCTAATCTTTAAATTTTTAATATTTATTTTTTTGAGACAGAGTCTCACTCTGTTGCCTGGAGTGCAGTGGCACCATTGTGGCTCACTGCGGCCTTTACCTCCTGGGCTTAAGTGATCCTCCCGCCTCAGCCTCCGGAGTAGCTGGGACTACACATGCATGCCACCATGCTCAGCTATTTTTTTGTGGAGACGAGGTCTTACTATGTTGCCCAGGCTGGCCACGAACTCCTGGGCTCAAGTGCTCCTCCCACCATAGCCTCCCAAAGTGCTGGGATTACAGGTGTGAGCCACACACCCGGTCCTGTAGTTTTTCATTTTGTAGAGACGGGGTCTCAACATGTTGCCCAGGCTGGTCTCAAACTCCTGGGCTCAAGTGATCCTCCTGCTTCAACCTCCCAAAGTGTTGGGATTACAGGTGTGAGCCACTGGGCCCAGCCTGTTATTATTATTACTATAGGTTATCAGGAGATGACATATGCAAATTGCTTTGCACAGAACCTGGCCTAGTGAGGAGGTCTGAGCATTGGCTCACTAAGCAAACTGCAGTTTTACTCCCTAGAAGCTGGGGTCACCCCTCCCCAGGGCTACCGTGTGCCCCTCCCTGCCTCTGCCCTGAGCAGGAAGGACTTATGAACACAAGGATCCCCAAGGCCAGGAGAGACTCACCTGCTCTGCCGTGTGCCTCAGCAGCACCATCCTGGCATGAAGGTGTGAGGGGCTGGGGTCCAGGCCAGTCGGTGGCTGGCTGCACCAGCGGGTGCTGGGAGCAGTAGGCAAGAGGGCTGAAAAGGCCAAGGAGGAAGTCAGGGACCAAAGTGTTGGTGGAAATACCG